TGTCGGTGAGAATAATAAATTTTAAAAAGTAATGATGTGATTATAAATTTTATTTACATATGAAATAAATGGTTAGTAGATATAAATGTGGGGTTGTTTTAACAAAATATAAACTCGTGGATCAATTTTTGTATTAAAATATCTCAAATCATGATATAATTTCATATCATGATTTTTGGAGAATATGGAATCACATATCATGATATGGAATCATGAGATGGAATCAGCGTAAATCGCATGTCCAAACGCTGATTCCATCTCACGATACCATATCGTGATATGGTATTGCATGGCCAAACGCCTACTTAGTGTAATTCTACTACTGAGATTTGGAGAGGGTAAGATATATGCAGAACTTACCCCTATCTTTGCGAGATAGAGAGATTGTTTCCGATAGACCCTCAGTGATCAAAGAAATGGCAACCATATAAAGTGAAAAATTTAGATTTGAAAATCTTCAAACAAAATGAAAAATATTTGATTTCTATGGCCAAAGGTTTCTTTACCATCATAGGAATCTATATCTTTTTGAAGTTTCTCTTTAAGGGGAAACCATATATCCTAATTGTTGAGCTGTAAAGAGGAGAATCAAGTAAAGATTTTGACGGATCAACTGAGCCCAATATTTTTGACATAAATTATATTGTACATAGATATTTTCCTAATCCATATTATTATTATTATTATTATTATTCATTTGCTTTATTAATCGTTCAAAGTTTTTAAATAGGAGGATCACTACAATCATAACATCTATCGAACCGTTATAATAAACCACATGGAGACATGAGACATGACAAGAAAGGGTAAAGGACCAAACATTTTCTTGGATTATTCGTAGCTACTTAAGTGGTCTCTCTAAAAAGTAAAAAAGAAAAAACACAGAGTACTTACTAAGTGACAGTAGTAAGTACTGTTTCCGTTACTTGTGGGGTTGGGAGGATATGATATATGCAAATCTTACCCCTACATTGTGAAGGTAGAGAGACTGTTTCCATTAGACCCTCGACTCAAGTAAAGCAAATATAAATGTTCTGGTGGATATTGTGTGAGAAATGAAACTTTGCTGCAATATCACTAATGCTCTTGAAATTAATCCCTACACTCTATAACTGTCTTCATTGTACTTGTTACTCATTTTGCAATTTTCTTGTATAGAAAAAGGACAGGTAAGGCGAAATTTTGATTCATGTTTCCACTTAATAATAAGAACGTTGAGATTTTTATACTGCCTTTGGTGCTTCTCATGTTGAACATGCCATTTCTCTTTTGAGTGATAGAACGGATTAGGGTAGAAGAGTACTAGGTGGTTAAGTATTAGTTTCTTGTTATTCGAGTTCTGTTACTATTTATTGTTTCTTGTTGTTTTATTTTGTTGTATTTACTATTCCTTTTAAGAATGTTGTGTCATGCTTTGTTTAGTATTTTGCCATGGCTTCTTCACTTCCGTTATTTTCTTTTTTCGAACTGCTTTGAAATGCTTCTCCTTGAGTTGAGTGTCTATTGGAAACAACCTCTCTACCTTTCAAGGTAGGGATACGATCTGCATATACACTTCCCTCCTCAAATCACACTTGTGGAAATACGCTAGATGTGTTGTCGCTAATTGAGTGTTTGGACAATTTATCTTATTTTTTTCTTTGTTCACAATGAAGGCTTGCCCAGTTTGTCTAACTGGTACTAAGGATATGGCTTTTGGTTGTGGACATATGGTGAGTTCCTTTTCTCTACTATTCAATTTATAGGATGATTTTCATTTCTCTCCTCCATTGATTTCTCGTATATGTCACTCAACTAACCGTTATTATCTCATAAAGTCACGTTTCGTCTTGATTCCATTCTTCTTCAACATATAAAGTAACTTTTTGAGATAATAACTATTAGTCAAGTCACCATATGAGAATTCAACTCGCTATTTATATGGTGTTAATGAATTTGTGATCAATTGAATGCAGACCTGCAGAGAATGTGGTCCAAGAGTGTCAGATTGTCCCATTTGTCGTAGACGAATAACTAGTCGTATCCGGTTATACACTTAAAATAGCAACTTAAATGATCCGTGTATGTAAATATGCGTGTATATTTCTCGAGTTTAACTTTGTTTATGTCAATAATTTAAATATTTTTTACATTATCACGTTGAGCACCATGCCGAATCTCTCTACCATTTTCTTCTCTTCCACTTTGGCCAATATGAGTTCACCTGGTACTAGCAGCTTTATCGGGGAATTTTTACTTATTGTAGTAGATAACTTACCTTAATTTTAAAATTATAAATATCTATTTTGTTCATTGTTAATATATATTAGTTATTACAACTCTATTATCTTGTATGCTAAAATATGTAGAATATTTTTTTTTTCATAATCCAAGAAAATTATATTCACCATAGTAAAAAGATAAGTTGACAAAGGATGAAAATTTTCGTCCTAATTGTCAACAAAAAAGAGAAATTCTACTAAGTTAATTAAAAATCGACATATGTTCGAAAAAATCAAATCGCCGTCTGTGGGGATCGAACCCACGGCCACGTGGTTAAAAGCCACGCGCTCTACCACTGAGCTAAGACGGCTTCATTGATTATTAGAATTCTTAATTAATATTATAATATATTGTTATTAACGAGTTTTAGATAAGATAATTACATAAATCAAGTTGTATTAGAGATCTAAATATTTTCCATATTTTCAGTTTGATTGCATATTCCATTTAATTGTACACAATTAATTTGCGTTATTTTATGAATAAAATTTTTATTTTCTTGATTGTGTTTAACTGAAGCATGGAGTTTATGAACGAAAGCAAGATTGACATTTGATATATACATAAAGTATACTTAAAACTTATGATCGATTGTAGTAAAACAATAGTCCACCTTCCAAAACCAGCAAAGCTCCTCTATAAACAAAGCAACAATCTTGTCATTTTCTAATCACATGCTATAAGTTTTTATTATTGAAAAATGTCAACAACAAAGAATAAATCTAGTGTGATTTCATAAGTGGAGTCTGGAATTGAATGGGGTGTATGAAGACTTAACCTCTATCTTTGCGAGATAGAGAGACTGAATCTAATAGACTTTCGACACAAAATTTTATTAAAAATTTGTCAAACAACAAGAACAAACTCAATGTTATTCTATAAGTGGAGTATGGGGTTGAGCAACGGAGCGAGGTGTACGTAGACTTAACATCTACCTTTTTGTGGGATAGAGAGACAGAATTTGATAGACCTTCAACTTAAAATTTATTTAAAAATTGTCAAGAACAAGAACAAACTCAGTGTGATTCCATAAGTGGAGTCTGGAGTTAGTCAAGTGTACGCAAACTTAACCTCTACCTTTGTGGGGTAGAAAGACTGAATCTGACAGACCCTTGATCCAAAATTATTAACAAGAACAAGCTCAATATGATTCCATAAGTGGAGTCTGGGGTGAATGAGATGTACACAAACCTTTGTGGGATAGAAAGACTGAATCTGATAGACCCTCAACTCAAAATTTTATTGAAAAAAATGCCATACTTTTACAACATTGATTAGCAAACAAATACACTTTCCTTGCACTCCTCTTCATCCATAGTATCACTCAATGTCCTTCCTTTAGTTTCTGGCAAACACAACACAAACAATCCACAAATTGCTATACAAATCCCAAAAACTCCATAAGAAAACCATCTATTTTTCCTCCCAAAAGCTACTAACATTGGACTAATTGCACCACCAAGTACCAATGCTTGTCTCACCATTGACACTGCTGAATTTCTAACACATGTTGGAAACAATTCCACAGTGTAAATTAACAAAACATTAAAACAAGTACATGCACTAAAAAATGAAAAAAGTTCAAACCCCATTTGTAACACTTTAAAATCATCATTTTGTACTATTACACAACCTATGCTACATATTCCACTTAACATAGCAAATACTAATAGTGATTTTTTCCTAGTTAATTTTCCAATTAAGAAAAATGTTACTATTGATGCTGGTAATTCTGATAGTGCATTAAGTGTAACACTTAGGTATAGATTAAAAGGTAAATTTCCAACACCTAATGGCATCCCATAATATACCATTCCTATACCAAAACCAACCAACATAACCGATATAAGTCGTCTGAAAGCCCATTTTTTTTCGATCAACATCTTGATAGCTGAGTAGAGATTGATTGTTGATGACTCGTTCGAGTTCTGTATTAGAAAATAAGATAAGTTACTTGCTACAACATGTAAAAGTTTCATACAATGACGATATATTTAACTTGCTCAAATATATAGTTTAAGCACAAAAAAAGAAAATAGAGAGGGGTTTGAAATCTTACCAATTATTTATCGAAACACACTTTAACTATCAGTACGATGGTGATATTCCATGTATTAGGAAAAGGGGAACAACCGATAATTCATGATTGTGTTTCGATAAACATTTGGTAATAGTAATTAAGATAGAATATTGGACTTTTCAAAGTTGACACAAATTCCTCTTTGTTCCCTCTTACATAAAGCCATCTTGGTGATTCACAAACCAAAAAATGTACCAAAATTGAGTACAAAATTGTTGGAAGACATGTCCACAAATACAACACTCTCCATGAAGACTCTTTGTTCAAAAAAGCAATAATTGGCAATGATAGAAAACCAATAGTAAAACAAACAAAACCAATTATACCAACTTGTCCACGCCATTGATTTCCTACTAACTCTGTTGACAAAACAAGTGCACAAGTCCCAATAGTAGCCCTTCCAAATCCACTCAAAAACCTCAAAAATGAGTAAATCCAAATATTTGTTGAAATTGATGTTATGGTTCCGGCAACTGACATGACAAGACATGAAAAAACCAACATGTTTTTTCGTCCAAGTTTTGTGTCAGCCAAAGTGGATAATACTAAACCTCCAATAAGACAACCTATGAAAAATGAAGACGCTGGTAATCCACTGAGAACTGAACTCATACCTTGCTTCTGTAACGACAATTCATTAACGGCATGTGTGTCGGTAAAGACACTAATAAATGTTTGTTGTGCATCGAAAACCCACGATAGAGATACGAGGACGGATTGTAACAATTGTGCCCATCCAAATTCACCAATGCACCTTTCTATCGTCTCATCGAGCGTTTTCGATGTATTGTTTCGATTTAATAATAATGGTTCATATGATTGATCACTCATATTTTTTTTTAATTTGTGTATACAAATTAAAAGTGTGTATGGATTTTGAGCACCTTGAGAACTTTGTTTATATATGAAGAAAAAAAACACTAGTTGCATTTTAGTTTTTATTTAATTGAGGTCCCACAAATTAGGCAAGACAATATATACCAGTACAATTATGATTTGCTGGTATTCAACATTTAGACAATTTCATAAAGAGAAAATACATAATTACCACATTAAACTTAGGCTCTTTTTTTAAGAAGACACCTTAAGTTTGCGGAGGTCCTATTACCCCACGGACCTATTTAAATCCACAATAAATACGTTATTTTGACCCATTTTCATGGCAATTGTGATTTCACACTACAAAAGGCGTGAAAGAGTAAAATTGCAGTCCCAAACCAATGGAAAACTGACACATGGCATTGTTAAATCAAAGTGAAAAGAGTCCCACGTTTCTTCTTCCCCAAACCACCATTAATGGCTGTTGAGAGCTTTTCTCAACAGCAAAAATTGGTTTTTTACCACGCGAAGCGAATTTCTTTACTATATACTCTATCATCAAGTTTTAGCAATACATCTTAAGGTCTTTTATATGAAAAATCTACTTAACAACGACATAATACTTGATCAATTTAGCACCTAATTTACTTTCAACAAAGAAATTTTGAACCCATTCCGTTCATATAGTTTCCCAAGATCAAAAGTATCAAAGAATCTACTCGTACAAATTCAAAAAAAATGTGAAATTCACTTATAGAACTCAAAGCTAGTCTTAATTTCGGAATACCCACAAAGCTAAAAAGTATTAAACTAATTTTTGGGGAAAAAATTGAAATCAAACACTTAATAAACAGCCAAAACACTAAAAAATAACACACAAAACTTACATAAATATATATTTACAAAGATATTTATTTTGAAATGAAGTAAATCGAAAGAATTGGGAAAAGGAATTGGAAAAGATGAACATGAATTTTTCTGAAAAGGTTTAAGGGTTAAAATGTGAGTGGGTCAGGATTTTACCCGACCCACTATTAAACAAGTAAGAAAAATAAAAAATATTATTTATTTGGGGTGAAACACACGCACGGATTATGAGATTGCAAATATTGTAAAAATAGTGTATTTAAATTGTTGGAAATGGTTGGATGGGGTAATAGGACCCCCACAAACTTTAGGTGTCTACTTCAAAAAAGAGTACAAGTTTAATGGGATAATTATGTATTTTCTCTTTCATAAATTATTAATTTTTATTCTTGAAGGATCATATAATATTGATATCATGTGTGAATGACAAGGATCTGATTTGACTTGATCCTTCAAACAGTAAAGGATAAAAAAAAAAAATATGTAAACTTGAAGATAAATGTTTTAAATTAATAATCTGATCCAAAATCATGTTCTTATTGTTACTTTGGGTTAAAATGTTTTTTTCTAAATAAATGTATTATTTCTTTTCTATTAAAACACATCTTTTTCCTAACAAAAATATTGTAATACATCACTAATTCTCATTTAGATAACAATAAATCCTCTTTTGTAATAAAATAGAAAATTAATATTTTACGGATTGAAGAAGGATATTGGATCTTGACATGTCGGTGGTTTTTAACCATAGGCATTTTGCCAGGAAGTTGATGGGCCTATCATGAATTAGGTCGGTGTCACGACCCAAAATGAGTCGTGAGTGGCACCCACACTTAACCTCCTAAGTGGGCAGACCAAGGAATCTAAACTCCAACATATACCAATAATTCAACTACGAATAACAACAATAACGCGGAAGCTCCAAAACTTATTAAAGTAACCAATCAAATAAACCCCTAAAGTCTATTACATGTTATCCCCAAAATCTGAAAGTCATCACATCAAGGACATCTAATCTCTAAAATACTAAGTCTAAGAGTATCAAAGACACCGAAATAAATGAAATAAAGTAATTTGTGTCCGAAAACTA